AATGGGCAAAGCCCTCCCAGAAGTGAGGGGATCTGAACAAAGCTCGGCCCGCTGCCAGCTCCCAGCCGCAGTGGGAAACAGAGGAGGGCCAGCCGCTGGGCCAGCAGCCAGAGGCCCAGGGACTCATGCCTGGAGCCCACAGCACAGGCTCCTTGGGTGACCACAGTTCGGGGAACCACAAGTCACAACCTGAGACTCTGGCTTACAACAAAGGCACAGTGCTGACCACAGTTCCAGAGGTCAGCAGGCTGAGATGGGTCCAACAGCTGACGGCAGGTGCTTGCAGGGCCACTCCTCCCAGGAGCTCCAGGGAGAGACTCCCTGCCTGTTCTCCTTCCCGAGTTCCCCAGCTCCTGCCACCCCTCCATCTTCAAAGCCAGCAGTGCAGGGTCTCCAGCCTCTCTCTGACCTTCTATCTCCCTCTTCCAAGGGCCGTGCGAGGACACCGAGCCATCGGGATATCTAAGTAACATCTCCGTCTCAGAATCTTTAACTGGGCCTGTCTGCAAAGTGCTGGTTATCACTGAACTTGACATTGCCCACCGATTCTGGGGCCCAGATTGCGAGCATGGTTGGGAGTGGGGGACGCTACTCTGCCTGCCACAGTGCATAGACACAGTGCAGTGGTTACGCATCTCAGAGGCCTGGGGTCTGCTCACAGCACGCAAAGAAAGACAAGGAGGCCCAGCAAGACCACAGCGGCTCAGGTGTACACTGGCTAACAAGCAGGAAGCCGGAGGTCACCAAGGTCAGCTCACTCCAGACCTCCTCTGCCCTCTCTAGTGGGACAGATGGGCAAGGACTGGTAGGTATGGACACTGTGCTTTCCCCATGGCAGTGGGGAAGTATCACTGAGTGTTCCCTATTTGATGAGGCGCCCCACTTCCCCCTGCAGGACAGCCATGGTGACCCATGCCCAAGTCGGAACCTCCAACTTTATGGGCAAGTTGGCAATCTATCAGAGACCCAGCCACTGGGGGCCCTCGTCATGGCAGCCGTGCAGCTCTGAGTCCTCCGGGCCCCAGCCTCCTCGCCGCTCTCGGTTGTTGCTGGCATCTTCCCTACAAATCCTGTCTGTTTTGAGCCTGCACCGGTTTCTCTCTGTGGCCACTGAAGCCCTGGCTGCCACTTGCCCTCTGGCAAAGCAGCCATGCTGAGCACCACGGAGTCTCATGAGGACTCCCCATCCTTCTGCAGACGCAGAACTGAGGCTCACAGGGGGCCAATCTCTGCCGCATCTTTCCCACCTGCCCTCTGCGTCCAGCCTGGCTTCTTCCTGTCCTCTGATGTGGTGCCTTCCAGCCCATTCACCCAGTGCCCATGATGGGGGCATGCTTGGCGGCTGCAGGGGCAAAGCCAGGGGCGATGCTGGGTTGGATCCTGGGAGCTCCTCCCACTGGGAGAGACGGGATGCTCAGTGCCAGCACTCTCATGCAGTGGCCGAGGCGGCAGAGGAGACAAGCTCCTCTGTGCTCCGTGGTGCTGGGCCTTCTTGCACATTGTCCCATCTTCCCTTGCTGCACAGAAGAATCCCAACCCCAGTGGGGAAGCCACCAGGCGAGGAGAGGGGATGGAAGGCAGCGGCAGCAGCTGTGAGGGCCGGCAGTTGCACTCCCAGCACACACACTGCTGCTGGGAGGAAAGAACCAGTAGGGGAGAATTTGGGGTTTTTAAGAAGTCCAGTCATGCTTGTGACACAGCCTGTAATCTCAGCACCCTGGGAGGCTAAGGCAGGAGGACCTGCCAACAGTGATTTAGGGAGACTCTGTCTCAAAATACAAAGTTAAAAAGGTTGGGGATATGGCCCAGTGTGAAGACCTTAGATCCAATCCCCAGAAACACACACACACAAATCCCAACGTAAGGAATGCTGATTTTTAACAGCAGAGTTAGAAGGAAGCCAGTGATGCCAGTGCCGGGGGAAGGACTTCGCTGTCAGCACTGGGGGATTCGGGGACATAAGCTACTCTTGGTGTGGCCCCTGCTGCCTGCCTGACCTGTGAGTCCACCCCTTGCCCCCAGGAGGTGGGTAGGCTGGCCCCCCACTCTCAGGTAACATGTGACCCCAGCCTGGCCAGTCAGAGCCGCAGCTCCCTAGGCCCTAGCGCCTGGCTCCGCCCCCGGGCTCAGGAGCAGCCTTGGATGCTCCCTCAGGCCCGGCTGCCCTGGCTTCCTACAGGCCCAGGAGAAAACATCACCTCCCTCTGCGCTCAGGTTAGATGCAGCTGCTCTCTGCCCACCTGGTTAGAGATGGCAGCATAAGACCTGCACAGCTCCTCTCCTCACCCCAGGGATGCTGCTGAGCTCCCCAGAAGGGCATTTTTGTTGAGGTGCCCTCCCTGCTGGCCACACCTGCAGCCACCCCTCCAAACCTCAGTGTCTGTCTCCAAATGGAGAGGCAGCAGCACTGACTGCTGCTCTGAGGGCTAAATGAGATTTGCTGTCATGACCATGCGCTGCCAGCAGGGCTGCAGACAGGCCCACCCGGGGCTGGAGACTGGGAGCTGCCGTCAGTGGGGACGGCCCTGGCTCCCGAGGCTCCGAGGAGAAGCTCTCTCACCCTGGGCTCTTGGCAGCCATGGCTGCCAGCCATCCTCAGCGCCCTGGCTCGTGGCTGTCGCTGCCTGGGTTGCCTCACTGCCTCCTCCCATGTGCCTCCCCACACCGTCTTCCCGCACGGTGCTGTTGGCATCTGTGTTTCTCCTCTTAGAGGAGCCCCAGTTGTGTTGGAAACACCTCATCTCACCCTGATCAGAGCTGCCAAGACCCCATTTCCAGAGGAACCTGCAGGATGGGGACAGATCTGTCTGCTGCTGTCCAAAGCTGCAGGAGGCAGCAGCAACTGGGCCCTGGGCCAGGGGCCGTGTGGCCTCTGGGAAGCTGGACGAGCTGCCTGGGCCTCTGCTTTCCTCCACAGAACTGCAGGGCAACACTGGTCATTCAGGGGCTGCCGGGCCATGAGACCGCAGGTGAGGGACACCGGCCACTCTGTCACACTGACTCTGCTTCCACAGTAAATGGGCCTGTGCTCTCTGCAAGGCCCAGGGCGTCCCCAGGATAAGACTCTGCCTGGTGCACGGCTTGTGCTGACTGCAGGAGGGTGAACAAGGAAATGGACCGCAAAGTCCTTGGCCTAGGTCACCCAGGACAGACGCTGATGGCCAGGGGTGGCCAGGGACGCTGACACTCAGCACAGTCTTGAACCCTTGGTTGAACAGGGTAATTTCCCTCTGGGGGGTGCGAGTGTGTGTGTGTGTGTGTGTGTGTGTGTGTGTGTGCGCACACATGAGTACACGCGCTTTGAATATTCAATCCTACACTGACATCCGAGTAAGCGAAAATTCACATGAATTTTTAACACAAAACATGACACTGGAAAGTGACTCCAGGCCCAGCAGCCTTCACATCGCCCGTGCCCTCGGACTCAAGGGACAGAGCTGGAAACACACTTCCAGCCCAGATCTAAGCAGACTGTGTGGCAGCTGGGGAGGGGACTGGCAGGGTGCCAGGGTCCTGGGTCATACCACCACAAGCATGACAAGAGCAGAGTGCCTGCCCCAGGCATCCAGGCAGCAGAGCTCTGAGGGCGCAGGTGAGACAAAAATAAAAGGGGATCCATCACCTAAGATGCTCTTGAGGGCCCCTCGGCCCGTGATTGTCGATACATGGACTCGTAACAGGGCTCGCCTTTCCCATAGAGCTTATTCATTACCCACAGCGCTGGGCCCAGTGGCATCGGCTGTGTGTCCTCTGGATATCTGCGTCACTGTGGCAGGGTGCACTGGGCCCTTTTCTAATGCCTCTCACAAACCCGAGCCCGCCCACCCCCACCCCCGGTTTCCAGAAGGCTGGTGCTGCTCACCCAGCGCATCTTTGCCAGGATGGGCGCACAGCAGGACCATAGCCTGCCTCTGTGGTACAGACTGCACCAGGGCTTCTCCCAGTGGCCCGAGCTGCAGCCCAGCACTCAGAAGGACTTTAAGTGGACTGGAGTGGACACTGAGAAGCAGCTGGGAGACTCAGCCAATAAGGACAGAGCAGAGTTGTGGTTCTGCCCCTGAGGGCGTCCCATCCCCTGGCTGTTGCTATCCCCTGAATCTCCCTTACAGATGGGGAAACTAAGGCCCACTGTGAAAACACGATGTGACCAAATGCCCAGCTCAGCACCTGTTGCACTGAGCCTGGGGATGTCAGAGACCTGCTCATCTCTGACCCCAGCAACCTGGCTGGGCCTGTGCCAATGCAGGGGACCTGCCTGCTCCCTCAAACTTTTTGGCAGGGAAGCCCAGGAGCCTGGAGGGTGACAAAAGTTACTCCAGGGTCTGACAGATCCAGGTTCGAATCCTAGCCCAACACAAAGCAAGGCAGTGAATGCTTCTCCCAACTCTCTGTGTGATGGGAGGCAGCGTCCCATTTTCTAAAGGAGAAACTGAGGCACGAAAAGAGCGAGCTGGGACTGGTCTGCCTAAGTATCTTTCTGTAACCCTGAGCCGCTGCTCTCAACAGACTCCAGTACACAGCTCAGTTCTGCCTCGTACCCCCTGACATTCTGGGGCTCGTGACGTGCAGTCACATTTGGGGGGCTCCTCACGGAAGCCAGCAAAAAAGTGGCCTTGGAAAGAGAAGATTCTCAATCCTGCAGTCAGCCAGAGAGCAAAGCTAGGGCGCTTCCCAGGACCCCACGGACGCTGCGCAAACCTGGCCCCGAGGACTCCCAGGACAGCTGCTCGGGGTTGTACCCGGACTCCGCCAAAGCTGCGCAGTCACGCCAGCCACTGTGTCCTGTGCTTCCCACAGCAGGACAAATGTGCCCCCCATACCAGGCAGCGTCTCTTCTGCAGGCTGGGCTGGGGCCTCACAACTCTGAGCAAGTGGATCTGGGAAGAGTGACCAAGTGACACCTGGCCACTGTCCCAGAGCAGGGAAAAGCAAACCTCACAGGCAGTGCCATGGGGAACTAGAGTCCCACCCAGGGTTGGCTGCCCGCGGCCAGCACATACCTTTCTCTTGTTGGTCGGGCAGATGTAGAAGTTGTCAATGATGGTGGTCACGCCAGGCTGCAGGGTGAGCTTGGTGTAGGATGTGCCGAAGTCCGATGACCTGTGGGAAAGGGCCAGGGGTCAGCGAGGTCCACGCCTACCCAGCACCCACCACGTTCCGGCTCGGGTAGCCCAAGCCCCTGAGTGTCACCCTATGGGGTCCCTACCCTTACCCTTGGGGCCATGTGGCCCTGTGTGCAGTGGGGAGCCTGGGCTCCCCTGGGGACAGAGGATGTGCTCAGGCTGAAGCCTTGGCCTGGAGCAAGGGCTAGAGGTGAGGGCTCCCTAGCTACGAAGTCCAGCACATTACCTTCTAGTGGGGCCACTGTGAACCAGCACTCCTGGCCCCTCTGTCTCTTTGTCACCTTGCAGAACTTCACAGACAATGTCACTGCGCCCCTCCCACAGGAGGCCCAGAGGGGTTACTGTTTGCCTGAAATTGCTCACTCAAGCTGCGCAGACTCAAGATCCAACCCCAGCCCATCCGAGGCCAGGCCGGCACCCATCTGTGCACACAAACCCTCCTGCCACTCGACACCATGCTGCCCCCGCACCCCTATTCCCCCAAGTCCACCAGCACCCAGCTGACCGCCTTTCCATCCAGGCGGACAGCAGCATGAGATGGCAGGGGATAGCTGAGCACCTGCCAGGACCCGAACCCAAGGGGCCAGGGTTACAGTGGGTAGGGAAAGCAGGTCCCCAACCTCACTGCCTGGGGCAAGTCCCTCCCAGCCACAGAGACACACAGGTGGGAGTCCTGCAGCAATGAGAGGGACTTGGCCACCACCCTGGCCACAGATACAGAGGCCGTGGGGTTCCTTCTACACTGAAGCTGTCGACCCAGTGACCGTGAAACCGAGCCCTTTACGGTCACGTAGGAACACACTAGCTGCAGATGGACACCGCTGTGCTGGACAGGTGGGCTGAATGGTGGCCCCGGCTCTGGGCCAGGCTCTGTCTCAGACCTCAGCACAGCTGGGTAGGGGATGGGGGGCCAGCGCCCAAATCCCCATCGCAGTGTAACCACACTGGTGCTGGGGCCTGAGCAGCCCTGTTCCCCTCCGGGCCCACAGAGGGGCTGGATGGGCCTGGTGCCCTTCACAGTTGACCCTCGGTGCTTAGATCTGCAGATGCTTTGGATCTAAAGTGTCTCCTGTGTGGGGAGCATGGATATTTTCCCTTCTTAAATCTGCATGTGAGACACCAGTCCAGGAAGATGAGGCACGTCTATCATCTTTGCACATGGTAGGCAGGTAGCCCGCGTGCTTATATCCTTCAGAGGCCCCGGGGCTGTGGGCCCCTTCAGGCCAGTACAAAGATGACCAGCAGGCGTGGGCCCTCCTGGAGTCCCCGGAGGCCTGGGGACCTATCTGACCCCTGCGCTCCTGGGCTGGCAGGGAGGACCAGCCACAGTGAACTGACATGCCTGCCTCCCGCAGGCGGAATGAGGGAGCAGGGAATTGATTTTCTTCTGAGAGGAGGGAGCTAGCAGAGCGCCCATTAGCAGAGGATCGATCCAGACACGGCGGGAAAATGCCTGTGTTTATGAGCTCGAGGCCGTGAGGATCATGCAGGCCCCGCCTCGCCATGCCTCGGCCTTGCCTAGCGATCCTGCCCCTGGCCTTGGAGCCCATCCCTCCCTTCCACCTCCTGCCATCCACAGCTGCAGCCCACATCCAGCCTCACTGGACCCGCCAGCCTCTTCAACTCCCACCTCGGCCAGCTGCCCACAGCTGCTCACTTGCAGGCACTGCCAGGTGTGGTCGGCACTGGACAAGGGGAGCAGGTGCACAAGGGTCCCGCTGGCCAAGGAACCTGCTGCCCAGGGCAGGAGGATGCTAAATAAAGCAGAAACACACAACGGCCTCAGGGTACAAGTGGAGCAGAAGAAAGCGGGTCACTCTCCAGGCAGGGTCCTCAGACCAGGGGATGTGCAGGCTGAGACCCAACAAGGGAAGAGGAGGTCGTGTCTGGCTGGGGCGCTTGTCCTGGGTTGAGAGGCGTCCCCTGGACTCATATCCGCAGAGAAATTGTGAATGTGGCCTCACTTGGAAATAGTCTGCAGATGTGATCAGGCTAGAGGGGGTCACCAGGAGGGAGGCTGGGATGCAGACAGAGAGACAGACATACAGGGAGGGCAGGAGAGAGAGCTCAGGAAGGGAGCTGCCGCGACACCCCGCTTCCACACTGACTCCCAGGACCCTGGGAGGGTAACATTGAGCTGTTTCAGCACCCAGCTTCCCTTGCTGCAGCACAGCAGCCACAGGAAACAGACAGACGGCTGTGAGGAGAGCGCTGGGCACGGCAGTCTGGCAGGCAAAAGCTGGGGGCCCAGGAGCATCACAACCCCAGCCCCCACCCCAACCCATCGCAACCCCAACCCTCCTCCTCTCCCCTGCAGGCAATGCCTGGGCAAGCGGGGAGGGGGGACTCTGGGCTCAAAATGGGGAGTGCAGGTGCTGGGCAGACCTCAGAGGAGAGGGCACAAGCGTCCTGCAGCTGCCGTGACAAGTCCCCACGACACAGGCTGAAACCAAGGTGCACCGTCACCAGATGGCTCTGAGGCTCACAAGTTGGCAGTGGGCCCAGGGGCTAACGGCAAGGTGCTGGCGTCTACGAAGGCTCCAGGGACAATGTGTCCCATGCCCTTCCACCTCCCAGAGGTCCCCTGCATCCTCGGCCTGGGCCCCAGTCTCCATCTTCAGAGCACCTTTCTCCACCCTTGCCTTGTCACCGTGCCAGCTTCCAGGCACAGCTCACCCTCTGAGCCCCCTGGGAACCCCATAGGGCACATGGATAATCCAGGATAACCCCCCATCTGAAGACCCTAATCTCATGGCAAAGCCCCGTCCCCACGTAAGGAACATTCTCACATCCTGGGCATCAGCACCAGGTGTTTCTGGGGCTCTTGACAGTAAGTGGGCACTTGAGCCGGGGTTGAGGTTTGTGTAGGAGCCCATGGAGAGTGACATATAACAGTTGATGGGCCGAAGTACACTGAGACGGCAGGGCCTGGGCCTGCAGGGTCGACAGGGCAGGAACAGGAGCCATCCCCAGGGCGCTCCCACCCTTCCCTGTGCAGGCTGGGGGTGCTGGGAGCCAGGCCAGGCTCTGGGCACTGCACCCCTCAGCCCTGCCCAGCCAAGGCGGGGGAGGGAAGGAGGGCGCTGTGCCCATCTGCTGGAAACACCTCTGCTGCCGCAACTTCTCTCAGTGGACTCCAAGTGCAGACCAGGAAAGGGGTGACAGCTACGACGTCGAGAGGTCAGGAAAGAAGGCGCCCCTCAGTGCCCTGTGGCCTGTCCGCAGGACCTTTGCCTGCCCGGACCTGATGCCATCTGCCCTCAGAGCCCATACAGGTTCCTTGCCAGAGTAAGGACAGTGGTCATCAAGACCACCCACACATCAGAGGCCACGCCCACAGAGGGCAACCAACCGGTGCTTGTCAGATTCCTGCTGGGGAGCCAGACCTGGAGGCTGGGTGACCTCACGCCAGTCTGCTTCCCTCTCTGGACAGCAGTCTCCCACTGCCTAGTGCTCACAGACCTAAGAACTCCTGAGGCCCGGGAAGGGCTCCCTCCCTTCCTCCCTCCCCTGTGCCCGCTGTCCCCAGACCCCCACTGCTTCCAGTTTCTTCCGAGGCTCCCAGCAGCTCAGGGGTGGCCCTTGCATCTATGTGTGTGCAAATCAAAAAATTTAAAAGAAAAAACTGGAGTCTCAAATTGGGCAAATAGAAACAGGGAAGGCAAGCACAGTCGGAAACTGCTCTCTGCAACTGGCTGCCTAGTTGCCGAGTGTTTGTACATACCCACTTTAAAAATGACTTAATTAGGCCATGTTTGTATCCTGTAATTATTTCCTTGGTGGGGGCATCCACCCAGCCCCCTCCCTGGCATGAGCCCCACCACTCCCTCCGCTCCATCCCAAGCTGGGAAGTCCTCCAAGGTGGACAGAGGTAGGTGCCCTGCCTTGTCTGCTCCTCTGAGCTCCTGGCAAAGCCCTGGCTAAGCCAGGCATGCCGGAGACGCAGTTTCTGTGTCTGTGAGAAGGGCCTACATATTGGGCGCAGGGGCAGGGGCAGGCAGTCCCAGGAGCCAACACTGCCCTGTGTCACACTGCATACAGGCAGGCCACCCCCTTCCCCTGGAGCCTGTGCCCCAAGTCCCTCCGAATCAGGACTCTGCCTCTGATAGCCAGCTGCACCCCTCTGCTGCTCAGGGGATGAGAACTGGCACCTGCAGGACATGTGGGGAACAGGTGGCAGGGTGGGGACCTGTCAAATGCATAGGGACACGCTGCAGAGCAAAGTGTCTGGAGATGTCCTTCCCCGGCAGACACTGTCCCAGCGCTGGCTGTGTTCCTGGGTGGGGACAGGAAGTTCGCGACGGGATCCGAAGAGGAGATGTGGTAACCACTCTGGTGTTGGGGACCCAAGGGCCTTTTGAAGGAGGGCTTGGACCTGACACCCAAGACGCCCCAACCCACAGGGTGTTGACCAGAAAGTGCTGGCTTCTTCCTGTGGTTCTCTAAACCCCCTGCACCCAAACCCACCAGTTGCACACCGTAGAGAGTCCCGCACTCCCAGTAACCGCGGGGCTGCCAGGCCCGGTGCAGAAAGCAGCTCCAAGCACATATGGCAGCCCGGGAAGAGATCCAAGTTCAAGCTCTGAAATATGGTCTCCATCAAATGCCTACCGGCTTCACACCACCATAAAATCAAACACTGTCAGGCAGACGGTCCCGAGCCAGGGCGTCCGTGTGCACGTCCTCGGCTGTGGCAAGAGCTGAGACCAAGGTCAGGAGCGAAAGCAGACATCCCCCATGTGCAGCTCCTGGCAGGGTGCAGCACGGCAGGTGCCCAGCGGCACAGGGAGGTGACCCATCAGAATCATGGTGTACCCCTGAGTTCAGAGGCAAGGAACCAGAGGCCGGGAATTGTAAAGGGCCTCATCCAAGGGCACAGCAACTGTGGGGTCCCAGCAGGAAGCCCGGGCTGCTGCTCAGGGCTGGTCTCCTCTGTGCTGTCCAGGTCAAGCCTTTGATGAGCACCGGCCTCCCCAG